AGAACAAAAATGGCCACATTAAAGGAAATCAAAAAGTCAGAAAACATTAATATTTAATGTACAATTTTTTTTTTTTTAAACTACAGCATAATTGAGAACATAAAGAAAAGGCAAGAGGAAATTTTCCAGGAAGCCAAACACTCATATTATATTATTATATATATTATTATTATTATTAATTCGTTATGGGAATTTTTCTCTCTCTATTTTTTTTTTTCATTTTTTCTAAAATTGAAAAAAAGGAAATATAATAAAAATTAACTGCTAATTAATAAAGATTAGAGAGAGAATCAAGTTAAACGCCAGGCGGATGCGACGGTGAGGGACCGGCCCATCCAACCAAAGAAGACGCCTCCGTTTTCTTCTTTCACAGTGAAACCGCGATGGACTCGGTTGCCGGAAGTGAGACGAGCGCGCATCGACTCGGCGATGGCTTGACTCATCGGCTTTAATACAAATCCAGCCATGCCCATGCGGGCCCGCCATTTCCCGAAGACTTCGCATCTTTCAACGCGATCCCTCCCCTCGCAAGCTACCGAGTTGGCCAGCTTGCGACCAAGTGCTTCCTCGACCTTGACGCGGTCGGGGTTATCTCTAGGTACGGTCGACTCAATTGAGTCGAGTAACGCGCCGTAGTAGGCGCAGGTTTCTCCGACCCGGGACAAAAACGGTGCCGTGTTGGCGTTCATTTCCTGCTCCACCAAAGTCACCACACGCGGGGCAAGCCCCTTCACGCGCCGGAGAAGCTCGTCTCTTGGATTCTCCGTCGACACGCTCTCGTCGGGGACTCGGTATAATTTAAAAGCGAAGTTGACGGCGAGCGGCTCATCCGGCTCGCAACCGAGCGATTCACGACTCAGATTACTGAGTTTCGAACTCGTTACCACGTTGAACTTCAAGCAAACACCGAATCTCTCTGCTTTCTGAGTCAGCACCTCGCCAACAACTCGAAATCTCTCGTCACCAACTCCACCAACGTTATCGACAACTGCTGTGATTTTTACGACGGCGGGCTTCCCATTCTGACGCGCAGAGAGCGCGTGGAAGAGATGAATGTACTGCTCTCCTTGCCCAATATCGAAATCAATCACATGAAACCCATTGTTGCTGGGCTGCTCAAGAGTAGCTTCAAGGATAGCGAGATTAGCAGCCATGAAACCAAGCTTGAAACAAGGAGACAGCTCATAGAGCAACGGGGTCGAATTCACGTGGTCTTTACCGTACAACTCGGCCACCGGAGGCGGGTTCTCGACAGGGTTAACCCGCGATTTCAGTGCCGATAGTATGAACTCCATAAGCTTCTGCTCTGAATTTGCTGTCGGGTTCGGAGCTAGCGGAAATCGCGCCAAGATCTCCGACGCAACATCGGTTTTTCCTTCGGAAATTGCCGATGCCGTCTCCATTATAGTCTGCCTCGAGCAGACGGACACCGGAGAGGCCACCGACGATGATGAAGAGGAAGAAGGGGAGGTGGTGGGAGACGGCGAATTGGGGATTGGATTCGGATTCGGATTCGGATTCGGATTCGGGCTCGGTGCTGGACTCTGACCGCTGATCAGGTTCTGTATCGTCTCGGACCACTCGCTGTTAGTATTTGTAATCACAGACAAAGCATCTCCTTCCTCATCATCGTTGTCTTCGAGCAACTGCTTCTCGAGCTCCCGAAGCGGATTCATCATTTTCTTCTCCGTATCTTGAGCAGGCTGGGACTCCTGACTGAACCGTGTTAAGATACGGAACAGCCGGAAAACTCTGGTTACGCGGCTGCGGCTGCTGCTGAGGCCTAAGTTGTTGAAGAAGCGGCATACCGTAGCGTTGAGACAAACCAGAAGTCGCAGCAATTGAAGCAATATCAGTTGACATATTCATGGAATAATCCATAGAGGATGACAGCGGAGATAACGTCGACGCAAGTGGGTAAGTCCTTGCCTTTACGGACCGGAGAAGCAGAGCGTTGAGAGCTGAACTCTGGTGGTGCTGCGACTGTTGCGCTTGGAAATCCGCTAGCGTTCGCTTCCCGATAAAACTCGGCAAGGCCGTTCCTGTTCTGTTCGCGATCTGGGCGGTTTGGTCGAAGAAAATCCCAGGAAGCTGGGATCGGTAAGGTGCTTCTGATGGGTTCCCAGTGTTCATGGCGTTTCCGACCATAGATCTACCGTTGATTCCCGCATAAAACTCCGGCCCTCCACCGGAAAACCCAGATGCCATCTCCCCCTTTTTCCTCTCCCCTCCTCTCAACTCAAGAGCGATTGAGCAGAGGAGAAGAAGATGTAAGATATACTAAATAACAGCGACCGCTACAAGAATTTTTGGGTTTCAGAGAAACGCATGAAATATATTGAGTAAATTAATGTAGAAACGAGAAAGATAATGGAGGAGGGAGGGAGATAGAGAGAGAGAGAGAGAGGGAGAGTTTTCCTTTCTCTTAATGTACATAAAAATGGAAGTGATGAATAATAATATAACGGGGAAGGAGGGGGGGGAGAAGACGGTAACGAGGCTTGTAAATTCCAACACATCCGGTTTTGGTGGTTTTAGATTTTTTTTTAAATGCAGAAAAATAATTGGAGTGCTTCCACGGGATAGCATACCTTCAATCTTCCACCGTCCAATTTCAGAAATTACCAATTTTCATCACGATGAACGGTTATAAATGCCGCAAGACCAACACCTTCACGGTTCCGCAGCTACAACTTTCACTCCCATATGAGCCCACGCTTTGGTTGGCGCGTGGCGTAAAGCGCCAATGAAACGGACCACCAGGCTTGAAACGCCACGAGAAGGGAGGGGGATTTGGGAGTTGTGGAATTTAAAGCGCGAGAGTTGAAATGCTTTTTTATTCGGGCATTGATCACCTGACAGGACAGTTACGAACTGTACTAAAAAGCCAAGGACAACAGCCCGAGAAGGCGAAGGAAAGCGACTCGCGAGGCACGTGTAAGAACAAGACTAGAGCTTTGACGAACGCCACAGTGACCGCTCCGTCATCTTCAAATTCCTCCAACTGGTTGGCGGAATCGAAATTCCAGCACCTGGAAACCTGTTACTCGTGGTTGATGGTTACCGACTCGTGTCGGTCACTTCACTTTTAGAGAATTTAAAATAATAAAATAAAAGAAAACCAGAATTAAAAAATTAAAAAAAAGGTTTCTACGCTGGCCAAGCCCCAGCCATTAAAATATTTATCTCCGACACAAACCCGAAAATTAAAAATTAATTTTCATAAAGCTATAAAAATATTTATTTATTTATTTCAAATAAATAAAATAAAAAATATTGGAAAATGGTCTTTTGTTGCTTAAAAATAAAGTAAATTGTTTTTTTCTTGTGAAATTACAAAATTGCCCTTAATTTGTGGATTTGTTCGCGGAGATTTTTAAGGAATCAAAAATTGGTCAACGGTTCAACAGCCGATTCGACTTTTTTTATCTCCTCATTTTTCTTTTTGGTAATTTTAAATTATAAAAGAAAAACAAATTGTAAATAAACAATTGAAAATATTAATTTTTTTTTAATTTAGAATAAATTACCCATCATAAATTACAGTAAAAATTGTATTTAAATTTAATTATTAAAAACTTAAATGATAATTTTATTTTATTATTTCGTAGCTAAGCGGTCAAATAGTATTCAAATTAATTATAATATAATTAATTATT